GTATAATTTGGGGTACTGTAACATGGGGTATCCCCACCATCGGCTGTCATACCAGTATTTTCACCAGCGTTCGACAAAGGTTGATTTTAGCAAGTGAATTTGCAAACAAGTTTCTGCATTATTATCACAATCCAAACAAATTTCTTAGCAAAAATGTTTACTGGTCAGATTAAACAAACATACTACAAGCGACAAAACGCATCGCATTTCCAGTGCTGTTAGAAGAACTTAATGGTAGAAATTATTTTCAATTTTTAAGTAATGGTACTAAGTAATTTACTAAAAAGTGTTTTTCAAATAACAAACAATAACTCAACCATATGCATGAAGATTCGCCGGCACCACATACTCGTTTGAGATATGAACTTGCAACTTGAGTGCCGTGGAAAGCTAATCGAAAATGAATTTGGTGCAACGTGCTAGCAGACAAGACAGAAACAGGGCAACTCCTGGGATGAGCAACTAGACTTATTCGTTTTTTTTTTAGAATTTGAATCGCCTACCTATATCGGTTTATCTATGTAGAACACCGCACACGGCAATAGCATACAGGTGAATGTGAGGGTGTGGTTTTCGCCTAAAACTGCGAAGGAAATTCCATACATACTTTTTAAGCTGAAAAAATATTATTCAAAAATTATATCAGAATGCCAACATTTCATTTTTAATAAAGCATTCATTATAGGTTATGAACTAATAAGGATCAAATTGAATTCGATGTCTCGATTTATTGTCGTGCAGCATTGATATTGAAATTATTGGCATGCACATCCCAAAGACCTAAAGGATCGTGAGGGTTTGAAAATGTACTCTGAAAACATTGTAAATGTGGTGTGACAGTATGACGCATGCAACATACTTTGCAAAAATTTGAACAAACAGCGTTTTAGTGGTTTTACTGGTAGTCGATAACAATCCATTGCAAATAATCGACCTGGACATACAAATTAGTACGGCCATTTTTACTGCGATCTTAGATGGTGAGTTTGTGTAGATATAAAACCCTAGTCACGAATTGCTAAGTCTATCCTACAAACAATTATTCAGGTGTTTTTGTTATTTAAACGTTGGCACCTCTCAACACGTCGTTGGGAACAGATAACCTTGTCGTATCGGTGAAGAAAAGACTGAATAATAACATTTTTTGCACTGATTAAGCCGTTATTATCACATATCAAATATCCACCAATTTGGACATAACATATTATACGTGCCATACATCTGTGGTACACACTGAATAATTTGAAATCAAGGGTTCCCAATGGACAAATTACTTGCTCCTCAACATCGTGAAGCAAGCTGCACGCGCCGCACGACCTTTCCCATTTGCATCTGACTTTGATTAAGGATATTTTGCCATTACGTTGAAAAACAACTACAAGACTTGCATGAACTCATTTTAGATGCGCGTAAGTCGTTTGGTATTACCGGAAATGGAGGAAGGAAGCAATAGGAATATGAGCAATGTTAGGCATATGCCTCAGAACATTATTATTGTTCATGTCATGTGTCAAGATTGGTTAGTTTTGATACATACCGGTATATGCAAAACACCGTGCACGGAAACAGTAAATACTGAGTTATTTTTGTGAGTAAGTTGATTTGACATTATATTTGTGAATAAACTCAAGACTGAAAAGCCCTAATTTATTAAAATTTAACAATAAAATGTCGTTGTGATATCAAAATAACATTATCAATTTCACTGTACAATTATATTGAGCAATTTTAAACAATTTTTTCACAGCAACGTTCCTTATATTTGAAACTAGCTGGAAGTATATATATATATATATATTCACGGAGCAATACTCATAAAAAGTTTCAAAAAAAGAACAATTTTCAAGTGCTGGTGCATTTTTGTACTGATTTAATTGTATAAATGGTGTGCTGATGTATATTGGAATATGCCAACTAAAGCTTTACGGCATATTGGAGTGATTTAACTCTGAATTGTCTCATGTATATCTGTGTATTCAGGATTTGTACGTTGGTTCGAAAATTTGATACATTACACAATACAGTAGTACAATACAACGAAAGTCACCAGTCATGTTTAGACAAACGTGAAATAATAAACACTTAATCGTTGAGCTCAGGCGATTTGATGAGCTCAAGAGTCTGCGACGATTTTGAGGGTGTGGTGGAGGCGGTTTAGAGAGGAGAGGCACAAACGAATGACGCAAAACGAACCCCTATGTAGGCTACCTTGCGCGTCATCAATGCTACAGTAATGGAACTCGGCTGCAAACAAGGTTCAATTAGACTAATAATACTGCATTCTCATGATGGTGGTTAATAATTACAAAACCAGAAAAAATTGCAAAGAATTTTGATTGTGTCCTAACCAATGCTCTTTCTTGTACTGAAATAATAAGTAAGAATAACACTTAAGAATCATCAAATGATTTTCTGAAAGTCTAATTTGTTTGGCCGACATTGGCTATGATGCATTCGCATTTCTGATATGTGACAAATGCAGCCTGCAAATAGTGTATCAATACATCATCCATATCCCAACAACGGACAACTCGGCATGGCGACTAAGATTCGATTCTTTTCTTGGACCCCGAAGCAATACATCATTATTTCAATACTACGATTAGTGTGCTTCGTTGGTTGCGGCGGCCCCATAATATCTCAAATACTGCGTGAAAGAGCAGACAGACACGATACGTGTGGGAATTAAACTTGATCACGCGGGCACGGCCTTGTCGATGTCGACACACACCTAGACTTATAAATACAGAATTATAATACATCGGCAGTTATGGCCGAGATATGCACCAACGTTCAGTCGGATTACACGCAACCATAAACGATCGTACGGCGAATTAGAACCTCGTCTATCAACAAACTTAAGACGAAACATGAATTCAGCCTTGTAACGCCGGCGATAACGCCAAACACGATGGCTGAATGGCGTAGTTGGGCTTTTGACCCCGATTTGAAGGCATGGATGTCAACACTCGATTTAATTTTATGCATAATTGTCTTAGAATATCAAGCGATGCAACTCTCTGACTTCATTGCAGATAAGATGGCACGCTGGGTTGTTTGACGTCTTATGTTAATATGCTCGTTTTGTATAATGCTATGCATTCAGTTATTGCGAGAAAGACTAATATAAAAAATAAATAAATATTGCTATATATTTATATATAGCAAAAAAATCAAATAATAACATATCTTGATTGTATGTCGATACGCCCAAACCACAAAAATCACAATCGTGTGGCATTTCATACAGAATAAGCCACTGAGCAGTGAAATAATAAACACAAAACGCGATTCTGTGTCAACAATAAAGCCAATTTGCCCAGATTGACTTTCAAAAACGCACATGGTACCCTTTGCCTTTTTAGTGGCATTGAGCTGTTAAATTGTTTTTTTTACAAATTTCTATTTAAGTAGATAACCGTATTCACGTAAATACTGTGGTATTTATTAATATAATAATAATTATATAAAATAATCGCAATACACATCGATTACTTTGACGCAAGTCGGGTATTTGGTTTCATATACAGAAAACCACAAGAAAAATACCATTACATACTTAGGTATATCTGGCAATGAAGTCACTAGTTTAATCTTATTCTTGGGCGTTACTTACTCGAGAACGTAATATATCGATGAAACATATTTATATAATATATCTGATCGCGCTTTGCGGATGTTTCTTTTAACAAAGGTCAAGGGTCTTCATTTAAAAACTATGAAAAATAATTTTTTATTTTAATAATGTAGATTTAATGACATACGACATTTGAAACCCTTTAACATAGTGAACCGTGACTCTGAGTCCAAATCAGGATATAGCCCTGTGGGCTGGAGCGTGAACAATTTCACATTACGGTATATAAATCAATTATATAAATTAAAGAATATTACAATTTCAGACAAATTCAAGACACTTACCCCAATAACAGTATGTCTTCCCAGTCCCAATCCCTTGTGAGTATTATTGGATGCCATACTGGAGAAATCCAAGCCATCCGAAAAGGTCGGCGTAACCGTTTCGGCTAAGCTATTCGAAAATGATGATGACGACATTTCGTGTCCATTAGTTTGCTCTGACACTGAAGTCGTGGTAGTATTCTGAAATTCCATGATAGTCTATAATATGTAGTTTGACGGTAGTGATCTAACACGTTTTTAGTTTCCGAAATCCAGTTCTTGGACTGTAAATCCGATTTTAGGCGGCTTTTTCTGCATCAACACTAGCTCTAAATCTAAACATTATGAAATGGTGTTCAAGGCTTACGCCTGCAAAAGTAAATATATATATATATTCATATTATATTGTTATTAATAAATCAATTCCAGATCAACTATTACAGCAGGTGGATAAGTAATGAGCTGAGCTCTTTCAGGCGATTACATCCGGGGGTGGTATGCACCAGCGGTGCAGACGTTACACAGCATTTGTGCGAAGCTTGTATCAAAATATTTTTAAACAGATAACTACATCATGCTTAAGACTTCGGTAAGGCTATGCTTACACTGCACACCCTAAATTAAATTATGACATCATCTCCTACTTGCTAAAACAGTTACTGCAATTGACTTCGCTACACCACAACAGCAATCAGTCATGCTAAGCGTAGCGAAGAGCAAGAACACGAAAAATGAGATTAAAAAACTGTCATATTTGAAAACAATTTTTATGTTACAATCTGTCGACTAAAGCAAAAATGGAATATACCAAGACTACAATTTACCGAATAGGTCGATGACATGGAACTGCTTGCTCTAAATAAGTTATAGCAAGCCATGCAAGCAAATTAGGTCAAATTGGCACACAAAAACGACTGAAATTGTTACTACCAAAATCTGGAAATTTCATAATATATATAATATAGGCAATTAGTTTTTGATGCCAATGAAAACCATTCTTCTAATTATAAAGTTCCTTTTTGACATAGTAATTATATAACCTTAGTGAGCCTCCTGCTTGTAAACTAACAGCTGTAATATCCTAAATATGAAGCGAGCTCTGGAATAAGAAGTATTTGTCAATATCATTCTGAATCAAAACAATATAATGCGGTTTTACAACCGTACAGTTCATGCATAATTTACCAAAAGCACTATGACTAACTGCAACAGGCGGTTTCGATTGTTTTACCTTTAATTATTCACTTGTTTGAACCGACTTAGATGAGATTTACATTGGATTACATTCCTACGATACCGTCAGTTTGCCCACAATGATCCGATAACCTGCTTTAAAATTACACCTTTTCCCTACTATCACAACTTTTGCATGTTTGTACGTTTGTTTGTTTTGCCGGAAAACTTTAATCAGCTAAATAGCACTGCTGCAATAACAAGCTGATGCAAGATTCGTTCTTGCCTTCAAATTGAATGTAGCATATATATTATTAAACATAATGTATATAACATATCAAATTAGGTTAATTCGATCACGATGGCGGTCTCGTCCCAGCTCATATACTGGATTAACTTCTCGTGGTTAAATGGCATGAACCTGAACTTTCGTGACGAGACGTCATAACAATGTCAGGCTGCTCGTCAAATCTCCAAAAAACATTTACCACGATTGGTAACAGGGTGATATGTTTGCTGCGTTATTCAAAACATGAACTACTACTTTACGCACCGCCATGTCACGTCACGTCCGCAATATTTGAATTCACTTAATTGCCCGAAGATTTTCTTTGTGCTTCTCGAGGTATTCAATAAATACACAGACCACTTGCTACCATTTAGGTTCAAAAGGTATTCTTGTCGTGTTGTGGGATAATGGATGACTTTGACATTCTTTCAAGCGTATATTAAACATAATGACAAAAGATTCTACTGAACAAACCTCAATCGTACCGGATGGAGAATAGAAGTGTTATTGCAAAGCAAAAAACAAAGACAAAATTTGCACGCACATAGTTTTAAAAACCAAGAGCTAAATGGCCTCAAAGTTCTAAGAATCTATAACTTCAAAATTTGAAGCCGATTTACTGGCTACATTTTTCAAAGAATAATACCAACATCATCTTGACCCCATAGAAAGATGAAAATGGATGTTTATTCCGCTGTACTTCAGTGTTTAGTGTAAAAATCAAGTTCAATAACAAATTTGGCATGTCTTTTGAAAATGGAAAATTTTGACGGATTGGTAAGTAAAATAATATAGTAATATTTTCTCACGTCAGATTTCTTGGAAACGACGTTTCGGAAAACCTTAACCCTTGCTCTTTTTCACGTGAACTACATCACTTTGCATTCAGAAATATTGGCTACGAGTTACAACGCGACGTCGATGACGTCAATGGCGGCGATATGGCAAATTGTTGTTGAGTCTCGAACAACACTTTCCAATTCCTGATTTAAATTTGAAATACTAATTTTGAGCAAGAATTTGAATTCTCGCTTAAATTACCTCAGAGAAAATTATATCTATGACGTCATCTCTCAGACAACCGCGAAACGTCTACATTTAAGATACAATGGATGGCATTGTTTCTTTCTCAACTTTGTTGCGTATACTATAAGCCGAACTTAAAAAATTTAAATTGATTAGAACTCCCGATAAAGGTCCGTGTTTAAACACTTCATGTAAACTGAAATTATTCTATCGGAACATACTTAGTCTAGTACAAACTGATAAATAGTTTTAATACGTAGATGAAACATAATAGAAAAACTAAATCTCGATAAGCGAAACTTTAAACCCTTCCAAAACCCCAGTGGTATCAAATAACTGCCAAACACAAACGCGCGACATTTCTACGCGTCGGAACGTGTGGAATAAAATAGTAACGATGTGTGAAAGGTTTCCCAAAGATGAGCTTTTACTAACCTTTATAAAAATATTACATGAAAATTACATACACATGCAAAATTCTATTAAATTTGAAAACTGAATATTAACTAGAAAGTCGAGTTAACTATAGTTATATGTACATTCATCGGTAGTTGTTCTTTGACAAAATCAGGTACAAATATGGCGTACCTGGCTTATTCCAGTTTGACTCCAAATCATGGCCTCACAAATTTTATTTTTATTTCAAGCCAACATCTTTACCAAAGATATATACCGCTCAAACGAAGATACAGGCAGGTAAAAAATACTAATTCATAAATTAATTATTATATATCTAAAAACTGAAGCTGTCGGCAAAACCAAAAAAATCCGAACACATAACCCATCTGTTTTATATCCCGAACCATATCTAAATAAAATGTTAAAGGTTTATTGAAATCAATTATTAGGCATAACATTTTTAATCTTATTCCAGTAAGAATACTGAAAACTGGTCAAACAAGAGGTCCCATTTCCAGCTTCCAAATCTTATTTGCCTTCCCAATTACATTCCACCGGAAAATTCGCGGCATTCTGAAATTTACGGTAACCACTGTTTAACCAAAATTACCTTATATCAACAACATTTGAATTGTAAACAAGTAGGGGCATACACAGGAGTTTGTGATACTATTACGATATGAATAAAAAAGTATCACCTCCAACAATGAACGTTATTGTATCTGTGATGTTTCATGTTAAACCTATTTTTGTTTACATTCTTCATTTGTAAATAGCAATAAGTAGTAGAAACTGACTCCATTCATTCTTTCTCACATTAAAAATACGTCATATAGTATTACTGCTCATAAAATTCAATTTACCTCACGATAGGATCACAGACGTTCACAAATTGCTTATTATGGGCTTACAGTATTTGATACGACTATGAAATAAGTATACGCCAAAAATACTTTCCGTTCGTTCGCCTTGGTTTGCTTTACAGTCCATATTTAGCGCCCACGACGGATCTGGGCTTCAAACAATTTTACACACACTGTTATCGTCATCAATATCGACTTATTTAAAAAATGAATGTTATTACAGGGGTCGATAAATCCCTATTAACTTCACCGTTTACTATTGGTTGCGACACAAATGTTGAAAATGACTACTAAATATGATACCAATCCCATGCGAATTAAAATTAAAAATGAATTGGAACAGAAGAAAACATGAACAAGAATGGTATCGACTCCGACGTTAATTTCATTTCACGGTATTAATTTAGCACTCGAATTTGATCCAGGACTTTGGATAAATAAATTCTCGTATTCAAGTAAAGTTTGATCTTGAATATGCAGGTTCAGGCCTTGGTTAAGTTATTTTCAGGAAGCAGATTCTGACACGAATACCTTCAGAAACTCGACATCAAAATCTACCTTGATTCTGGGCCTTCCATTTTCTATACAATGCAATGCCAAATAATAAATCAGTAAATAATCGTTCTTACCTGCACAACATAATGCAACTAAAAATGAACTACACGAGGTCGAGCAATAACTAACGTCAGCAAACGCTGGTACGCCGGCACTTATGGAAAAGCTCATGGACACTCGACGAGAACGCCAGCAGAAGGGTTTTGTTTATGTTATTGTCGTCTCACGCGCCATGATTAAAAGAAACAGTTTAAATTGTCGACCTTTCTCGATGGCCGAGATATAAAAAGCTTTCATAAAATACCAACTATTTTTTTCCGTGTTCAATGCGCGATCATATATAATCGTGGCTGCCCGAGAATAGATCTCTGTCGAAAATTTTGCGTTATTTATTGAGGTATATTTTTTCGTATTTTTGCCAGAGATATTCCCCCGGTTAAAAGATAAGGTAAACAGGCGGCGTCGCAAACAAATAAGCCATATATCTCGCCTACAATCAAAGTCGCCCATATACGTCAGGGTATACATTATACACTTATTATACTGCTGTCGTTTCTACAACTGTCCATGACCATTATTGCTCAGGACGGAGGGATAACAAAAACTAGACAAAACGTGTTTGATCAAAAGCTCAAAGGGACAAAAATACACGTTCGGAGAATCAAATGGCGCCGATCTGGTGATTTAAAATAGCCATTCGAGGAACAAAGGCAAAGGCTTAATATCCAGATATGAGCCTGTTATTTGCAAACTTGATCTATCGGATAAGTCCA